TGTGAGACTATTTTTTTTACATTTGAAATTTCACAGCAGAATGTTGTAAAGGTAAAAGAAAAGCCGAACCTTCACAGCAAAAGCACTGTGAAGGTTAATTACCTTCACCGTGTTTTGCTGTGATGTTTCAAGTGTAAATAAATGGTCTCACGAAAACAGATTGGTCTTACGTGATTTCAAGTCTAATTATGTATGAATAGGATTTAGAAAAACATATATTTTGTGAAAATTGTGAGAATCACTTATTCATAATAAGTATACATAAATTTTCATTCATGATTACAAGGGTGGTGCTTGATTGGTTTGAGCTTGGCTCCAAAGGTCAAAAGTATCAGGAGGTTTCAGGTTCAAATCCAAGAAGAAATAAAAATCCTCTTGTGACCACGGAGGTTCAAATGCGATGACTCTGGGCTATCTGCAAAGCAAGTGATCGTCCTGAAATTAGTCGGCTCGCATAGCGGATTGAATATCCAAGTTAATCAAAAAATTCATTGATCGAATATTTATTGATGATATTCATTATTCTTACTTACTCGATACTAACCCACCTATAGATGTCATAAGAAATAGATTTAAAATAAGTATTTTTTTATAAATATAATAGTGGCCACAATTTATAAAAACTCAATTAAAACAAGAATGTCGAAGTTACTTCGATGATCGACGAGTTGAATTATCGATCGAGTTCTAAAATAATTACAAATACAAAGTTTTAATATCTAGTGATAGATTATTGACGGATATATGTATCGTTGTAAAGTTGTCACTATTTTGTCAGTGATTAATGATAAATTACTAATGGATCTCCATTCCTTGATCTCTCGATTATCCAACTCTATTTTTTGGGTTATAAAATTGTTCCCTCTATTGGTAATCTGTCGTAGATGTGCAACTTTCTAGTCGTGCGAATCCATACCTAAACTCATTTGAGTTCGGCCTACCGATACCCAAGATGCAAGCTACGATTCTCACTTAAACATTCGAACCATGTTAGTAGTAGGTTTCTATTAATAAAATGAACAATAAACTTCATTTTATGGTTTTCGAATCCAAATTGTGAATCCAACATTCTTAGGAGGTGTTTGGCTCACAGGATTTGACAGAATTCGAAGAAATTGAAATGACCAATTCCGTTTAGGTGTTAGCTTTATCTATGGAATGAAATTGACTTCCATACCATTATTCTTGGATTTGGTCATTCCATCAGAATTGAAAAGGAATTCATTTCCATTCCATTTGAATTTTCTCAAAAAGACAAAATTATCTTCATCTTCCCTACTTGATCTGCACCATCGCTGATTAGTGCCGACCACCATCGATCTGAACCACCACTGATCACCACCGATTTGAACCACCGTCGACCACCTCGGATCTAAACCACCACCAACCTGAACCACCGCCGACCATCGCCGATATGAACCACCGGCAATCTGATCCATCGTCGACCACCACCAATCTAAACCCCTGCCGATCTAAACCACGGACTTAAACCACCGCGGACCGTCAACAATCTGAACCACCGCCAAACTGAACCACTGCCAATCTAAACCATTGTTGATCTGATCCACCATTGACCACCACCGATCTAAACCACTGATTCGAACCACCGCGGACCGCCAACAATCTGAACCATCGCCAAACTGAACCACCGCCAATCTAAACTATTGTTGATCTGAACCACCGACAATCTGATCCACCGTCGACCACCACCGATCTAAACCCCTGCCGATCTAAACCACTGATTTGAACCACCGGCGGACCACTGCCAACCTGAATCACTGTCAATCTAAACCACTGTTGATCTGAACCACCGCCTTGAACCACCCTGACCACCACCATCTAAACCGCCGCTGACCACAACCGATCTGAACCGCTATCAGCCACCACCGCCAACCAGAACCACCACCAACCAATGTCGATCGGAACCCCGTCGACCACTGTCGATCTGAACTACTGCCATGTAAATCACCGTAGACCACCACCAATCTGAACCAGAATAGTTGGATTTTGGTTTCAAAATTTTCAAAAAAAAATGTATTTTGATCATTTACCAATATTTCGTTCCAATTTCAAAGCGACATTATGTTATGTCAACCAAACAGACATATTCTAATTTCTTTAACAAATTCTATTCTAATGTTTGTCACCAAACAAGTGGTCAAACCTGATAAGATTTCATTTCAATTGCTTCAAAATCAAATTCCTTTGTTAGGTTTCATTCTATCCTAAAACATTTTGCGAACCAAACGCAATCTTATTCTTTTAAGTATGTAGTCATTTCTAGTGTTTGATGTAATTCATTAGATTTAAGGCATCATTTGATGGACATGTAAAAGCATAATGAGCAATAACCTTCATTAAATCAAACTTAAATAATATTCCTTACATCAAATTGTTTGAATACTTAAACACTTTACCGACAATTCTTTTTATATATTCCATTTGTTTCATCATTTTATGCTCAAAGTTTCAACATTATTCACAAATTGGTGTATTTTTATTATAGAATTTGAAGTGTTACAATACATTTTCAGAAAAGTTTTTGATTAATAATCACAAATATATATATATATATATATATATATATGCCTAATCAAATGAGAACTAGATAATTTATGATAACTGAGCCAATTATTTTAGATAATTAATGTTATTTACTAAAATAAAACAAAAAGTAAATTAATAAATTGTGTTGATTATTCAATTTACTTTAATTAGTTTAATATTTCAATTTACTTTAATTAGTTTAATTATTTTAATATACGTATATATATATATATATATACACACATGGACCAAATCCGGTAGCCTTCTCCGGCACCCACCACCACTCTGTTGACCTCCTCCGATCATCTTGTCTGACCAATACGTCGTCTCCGATGATCGACCACTAAACACCCACTTGTGAGCATTCCTGACACCTGGTATTATAGTGGTACCACAGTTGGTATCATAGTGGCCTCAAAGTATCACATTGTATGTATTTTGGGTATGACATGGTGTTCGTCGGAGTTCGGAGGTTAGAGAGAGAGAGAGGAGAGAGAGATAAAATTTTAAAATACCTAAATGCCCTTTAATTATAATTTTAAGTCAAATTACTAAAAATATTAGTTTCTTAATTTATACATTGATTTGTGGTTGAAATTGGATCTCAAAGTTATATAACCAAGTCTCATAAATATCTACAAAACATAATTTGTTAATGGATAAATAAACATTTTCAAAAAAATATAATATATATATATTATAACTCTTTTAAGATAATCCCAAAAAAATTATTCTTTTAAATATTAAAAAAATAACCGGCAAATTGGTGAAGAATCGCAATCTCCCTTTTTCTCTTTTATTCTTTTTGAATATTTTATCCATTAAAAGCAAATGGAAAAAATGATAAAAAAATATGTTTAAATAAAACAATTTCAATAAAATTCTAGAAATTATAAATAAATATGTCAAATTTAATTTTTAATGTAATAATTAGGAAAAAGATGTTTGACAAGACAATTTATTTCTTAAAAAGAATATGTATTAAAAAAATAAACGTTTATTTGATAAGTGTTTACTGTTAAGAATCACCATTCTTATTTATCTTATCGGGTAACATTCAAGGTCATCAAAATTGATTAATGATAAACGTTTATAATTCAGTAAGGGGTCGTTTACCAAATGCTTACTCGGATAAGCGCTTATCAAGTCACATTCCCTTACCGGATGAATATGACAAGGACCAAAAATCTTACCTGGTAAGAGCGAATGCACGAACCGAAAGTCTTACCCGGTAAGCGATGGCGAAGACTCTTACCACGGTTAGCGCTTACTTAGTAAATTATTACTTACGATGTCGTCTGGTAGACTAAAATCTTAATCGATAAGTAAGAGATAGAGTTGAAATTTACCGTTTAGCGCTTATCGGACAAGTGTTCAGGTAAACGGCCCCTAAGTGTTTACTGGATAAGAGTCATCGTACTTACTTACCGGGTAAACTCTCGACCCATTGTCTTCCCTTTTATCAGGTAATATCATCGGTCCTTGTTATATTCACCCGACAAGTAATTAAACCATAAACACTTATCAAGATAAGTATTTAATAAACGACTCCTAAATATTTCAATAAATTTTTTATTAAATTCAAAAATTAAAAACTAAATTTATAATTTATAAATTGGATTTGATGTTTTTGTTAGAAATAAACTTAAAAATAAAAATTGTGAGACAAATCCAAAATAAATTAAAAAGGATATGAAGAATTGCATGTGGTTGTGGGGTCCTATTTAGGCTTACCAAACAAGTGCATGTTCCATATCTTATTTTTGTTTATATCCAAATCTATTTTTTATAATTTTAAAAATAAATAAATAAACCAATTTTCACATAAAAAATATTTATTATTTTTATATGAACAACTCTAGAAGAAAGGCATATATTCACTAATGAATTACATCCTAAAGTTTATTGTCATTAGTTATTTTATGTACGGATATTTATGATTTATTGTGATTTTAATTGGGTTTGATTTAAAACAACTGAATTGTTAATATATTTTTGAACAAGTTTTTATACAGGTAGAATGACTTATAAACGTTTTGAAGAGCAGAACAACTGAATTGCTGATAAATTTTGGATACTGTTATTTTTTATGTAAACTGAATGGTTAGAAAAACAACAATATCTATATCAATTTCCGAATTAGGATAATATGAAGTTCTAGAACAATGCATTAACTACGGTCGTCGTCATTATCATATGTAACATATGCACTGAGATCTAAAACAACATTAAAATATACAGTTAAAATATATATGTTTTTAACTGATATATTGCCTGAATCAGATTATTCCACACACGATCTAGATTATGAATACCAACAATAAATGGAATTTATCATTTGCTAAAATTGTCACTTTCCAATTTGAAACACTTTTTTTATAATTGAAGCCTTTCCCTCCCTCCAACTTGGCCTATATAAGTCTATCTTGATTTGGTTATACCCCAAATTGACCCAAACCTTCCACAAAGACTTCCAATGGCTTTTTCACCATTCATCATTGTTCTTATGCTTATTTGCTTCTTCAATCTTGCCCATGGAGATTGGCAAAATGGTCATGCCACCTTTTACGGTGGAGGAGATGCTTCTGGCACAATGGGTATGTATGAAAATATATGTATTTTATCTGGACAGTTGGCTGTATAGACTTTATTAACTTTGAATGGTTCTTGCAGGAGGTGCGTGTGGGTATGGGAATTTGTATAGCCAAGGATATGGTACGAATACTGCGGCATTAAGTACTGCTCTTTTCAATGATGGTTTGAGTTGTGGTTCTTGTTATGAGATGAGATGCAACGACGACCCCAAGTGGTGCTTGCCTGGTAGCATAATCATCACTGCAACCAATTTCTGCCCACCCAATCCTAGTCTACCTAATGATGATGGTGGTTGGTGCAACCCTCCTCTCCAACACTTTGATATGGCTGAGCCTGCATTCTTGCAAATAGCACAGTATCGGGCTGGTATTGTACCTGTTGTATTTCAAAGGTAACATTTTCTTGTGTACTGTTTGGAGTATTTTAAATTGCGCTTTATGACTTATCTATGGTTTTGTTTGGCTACTTTGTGCAGGGTGCCTTGTGTGAAGAAGGGAGGAGTAAGGTTTACAATAAACGGTCACTCATACTTCAACTTAGTTTTGATCACCAACGTCGGTGGTGTAGGAGACGTACATGCGGTCTCGATTAAAGGATCAAACACAGGATGGCAACCCATGTCGAGAAATTGGGGGCAGAACTGGCAAAGTAACTCCTACCTCAACGGCCAAAGCCTTTCCTTTCAAGTCACGACTAGCGATGGAAGAACCATCACAAGCTTCAACGTGGCACCATCTGGTTGGCAGTTTGGTCAAACATTTCAAGGGGCGCAGTTTTAAGCTTTTGAAAACACTAAAGGGTGAAAGTTAAAAACCGGAAACTCAAAGGTGAAAAATGAAAATTTAAAATCTAAATGAATTTGTATATTGCTGAGGTGGCAAGTTAGCACCCGCTTAAATTACAACATTCAACATAGCAAGTGATGTCATTTGGGTTGTTTTGTTAGTATTAATCTTTTGCCCTTTTGCTTTTGTCATAATGTAATTTTGAAAGTATTCAGCCATTTTGTATTTACTCCGGTTTTACTTAATATTGTATAATATGAATTCAAAAGTATTTTATTATCGATATAGCAGACAAAATTCTAATGCTTAATATTAACAAGTTAATGTCCATAAAATGCATCTATTATGGTACCACAAACTAATTAATTCTCATTTGATTAGGCTCATATATATATATATATATATATATATATATATATATATATTTTTTTTTTTTTTTTTTTGCAAAGTGAATGAATAAGATCTGGACTATTGATCACCTTTAATCTCAAATCCACCAATTGAATTGTGCTTGATACGAGGATCGATTTGGTGCATTTTATCCTAATGTGCATCCAAAGGTGAAAATTTCTTCTTACGCTTTTCACTTTAACTATTTTTCTCTCCAGAACCCATATATATATATATATATATATATATATATATATATAGAGAGAGAGAGAGAGAGAGAGAGAGAGAGAGAGGGGGGGGGCGAAGGATCGTATGAGAAGGAGAGCTAAGATGAGAAGCGTAAAAAGGGATTCAGACTCTTGATCACCTTTAATCTCAAACTCACCCATGAATCACGCTTGATACGAGGATTGACCTGATGCATCTCATCCTAATGTACATCCAAGGGTGGAGTCCCTTCTTACGTTTATCACCTTAACTTTTATTCATACCGGAACCCAACCCCATATATATAAATGACTATTTTCGTATGTAAGGTTTAATCTTTTAGAAGTTTTCCATTTACAATATCTGTTCAAATACAATGTGGATATGCAGACCAGATAAACATATATTAAGCAACAGCCAACAGTATTGGTGCTTGCATATAAACACTTGATCAAGAAAATCACAAAACAAGAAGTCAAGAACTGCACAGGCATTTGGGAAATTCCAAAAACATAAACAAGCAGCAAAACATAGCCATCCCCCAAGTTACATAATTTATAAACAATCCTATTATTATTATTATTATTATTATTATTGTTATTATGCTAAAAAGAAAAAGAAAAGAAAAGAGAAGGGAGTTCTCGAAAACTGTTTTGTAGGTTACCGGGTCGTTCAGGCTTGAAAACGAGACAGCTTGGGAGTTAAGACAAACATCTCGCAACTGTGACTATCAACTAGCACCCCAAATGATGCCACTGCATCTGCTACTACATCTTCGTGCTGCAAACCAGATCAACATATTTAGTCAAGAAGAGGCCATTTCTATTTTAGTTTGTCCCAAAACAAATATACGCTGTTGAAAATGTTTACTTTCCAATTATACCCTTATTTATGTGATAGATAAATTAGTTACACCCTCTATTATTAAGGATAAAATTGACATATAGTTATGTAATGATTACACATTTCTAAAATTATATGCCTTTTTTTATTGTGGACTTATTTGGGGATGGAGGGAGTAAATTATCAAGGAAACTATTGCATTTTTGTTTAGGGTTTCACATGTGAATGCTAAGAAGATTTTGATATTTTAGCATCGAGAAAGCTTAAATAACCCGGGTGGCAGGCCAGACTATGCATAAACCTAACCAAACAAACTGACCCAGGATACCCACTCAAAAATAGGTTCTGGAGGTACATTGAAACATAGAAAAGTTAAGGTTTTAGAAACCAAGTGTTGGATCACTTGATGTTATATGAATAATAAGCGAGTAGATACACGGAAAACGTTACTTTGATATCAAATAGGCAACTATTTCAATATTGAGTACAGGTAGTAGAAAAGTGGTTGAATCAAGTGCCAAACGGCCCTAAGAGAGGCCGGATTGGTGCAAGAATCAAACCAACTTTCAGTTTCAAATCAAGAAACTTTCTGCAACTCTTGAAGGGGAGCATTGGGATTCAAGAACTAAAAGGAGAGCTCTTTCTCATTGCAGAAAGAAACAAAGAATGAAATAATTATTAAGGGCAGCTGGACAGGTAATGGTATTGTGGGGGGAACCTGGAAATTTTATATATTTTGGGATTGAAACCTGAAGATTTTTGGGTTATATACAAAACCAAGCATGGTGTACATATAGGAAGAAGTCTTACCTTCCACAAATCTCTTATAGAAACACTGGTGGAGGACTCGAGTCCGAGTGTATCCCATGAAACTTCAATCGTTCCAGCTTCTGGACATCTGTTCCAGAGAACAACAACAAAACGGTTCCCAGTCAAAGGACCAGCCCAAACCTGAAGACAAGTTAAGATCAAAATAAAAAGATTAAAACAATGGACGACCGTGGTGCACAGAAGCAAGTAAACAAATTTCATGCATTCTTTGTCCCGAAAGTATTCTAATGAATTTATTGTTTTTATTTATCTTCTATTTTTTTAATTGTTTAGCCTCTATGATGACATTAACATACAACATCTATGTGGGTAGAACCTTGAGCTGCCACTTTAAAGTCATATGAGTATTCATGATGCCGTCAGTTTGACAGCCTTTTTGGCTTGATTTACTCATCAGATTAGATATACATATTACTTTCTAGAGTTGGAGGTTTGGTTTAGATCACAGGCATTTGCAGCAAAGATTGGAATTAAATTCATTAAGTTGACTAGAAAATATGAGTTTCACTTATGTCTGAATGCATCTTGATCTAACACAAAGGACCTAAAGAGGGAGGACCTGGAGACAGCCATCTGTTCCTGAAACTGTAACTTTTCTTCCTTGAATTCCAAGTGGATCTGCAAAACAGAATTCCATGTACTTTGAGAAAAAGAAAAATGTTATGTGGTTACTATTATCCTTGAACAGAAAAATGATGTTAAGAGGCTTTGCACTTGTGGAACAAACTTGTGCTATACACACGAACATATTACCTTGGTTTACAGCAATGACCTCCTTGTTGCTTAGGATTTCAACTGTTTCTGTAGTCATGTTTCTGACATCACAACCTATAAGAAGTGGAGCCTGCACATTTCACAAACCATGAGATTAAGCCGAACAAAATCCATATCTTGTAAAACCCCCTTAAGGGTGCGTTTGGTATGCAAACGGGGCTAAACGTACGGGTGAAAGAATTATGGAAGGTTTTATGGTTTTAATTTGATACGGGTAGTTTATTAATTTATTAATTGTATTCTATATGATTTTTGATCCACCTATTTTGGTGGGATAGAAAAAAAAGCATTTTTGTCCACTCAGGAATTCAGGATCCTGTCCCTGTCTGATGTCACGCTAAACATGGAAAATAAGTTTTATACTGTCCTGTCATGTGTACCAAAACCACTTCAATTAGACATGTAATGTTCCTTAATGTCAGGTATAATTAGACTCATGACACAAATTTAATTCAACAGACTGCAAGACGGCAGCACGAGATCAACAAGAGGTTTGTGTTATTGAATACTGATAAGCAATGACTATGCTCAACCCTTCCACCACAATCCAATTTTTTTTGGCATGAGTTTGTTACATTGAATGATTAAAATAAAGCCAAAGTGAAGTGAAAAAAATGCACAGCCTGAAAAGGAAATAAAGAGCGAACCCCACCTTCATCAAAGCCCATATGCTAAAATGTGATCGGTATTCCAGGTAATTCATTCCTCCATTACCAACTTCCAACATATCCGGATCTGCAAGAAAAAAAATGAAGCAGTACTCCAATGTCATCCAGTGGTGGAGCATGGATGAAAATAGCTAGAAGACTTCACTTAGACCAGTCCAGAGAACATGTATTCCTACCATTCCATCCACCAGGTCCTGCATAGGCTGCCCATTTGTCATTGAGATCAGCAATTGATGTCATACTGGAAGAGAAAAATTAATCGATAAGTTCAGGGTGAAAAATCTGGCAGAAGCAAGCTTAGGTTACTTCAGTCCGATTGCTGTCCCATATTTGAATAGGTTAGAATATGGTTTAAGATTAAGATAAATAACAGAAATAAAGATAATAAGATCATAGTCATACTATGTCTCTCCTTGACAAGCTGCAAGTCTAAACTTATGTATACCAATGAGTCAAAAGGTTGTCATTCACGAACACACTCAGATGATCTCTTTCATGGAGATTACAGATTCATAATAGAAAACACAAAATTGAAAAAATTGGAATGCTTCTCTATTTCCTTGTCCAATTCAGCTATCTTAGTGTCAAAAATCTTTATTGAATTCATCGTCATCTAGGTTTTTTGTATAGATATTCTTTGGGTGGAGGGAGGGGGGGAGGAGGAAGAAAGTCTATCTTGCAGCTTGCAATTCAACTGTTAGTTCTTTGCTGTGAAAACTCATATCCTTCAACATTTTAGAAGAGCATCATTGCTAGATATATTGTAATTATAGGTTGATTTAGTTAGGTTGTGATTTAGATTTATTTTGTTTCCTTGTCTAGACTGATATACTTTCCTTGTTAGGCCTAACATTGTATATATATTGAGGTGATTACCTCACAATGAGGTACACAAAATTTCCCTAGAAACAAGGTATCAGAGCTACTGCTTGTTACCGCTGATGTCCCGTAACCGCCACCGTCTCCGGTGTCACAAAACCCTAGCCATGCTGCCATCATCTTCGGTGTGATGGAACCCTAGCCCATGAAGCGTGGTTTGGTTGATTGCGACGATCATTATATGGTCTCAAACACACCAAAGGGCCTTTGGCCTGGTGGTATCCGGGCCTCTGAGAAACCCCATGCTCACTACACAAAAGCTTCTTCCAAAGGATAGAAATCCGAAGAAGAACTAGAGCGATACAAGAGATAGTCTAAAAGTTAAACTATTTGGCAGCTTCTCAACCAGATATATCATTCTCTGTTAGTGTTTTCGACCGATTCATGTCCTTTGCATACATAGGTGACTAGGATGCAACACTTCGCTTTTTGAGGTATCTCAAGGCCAAACCAGGCTTAGAGTGCTTTATTCAAATCAACGACAATGCCATGTCAGTGCATTCGCTGAAGAAGGTAACGGCAAGACATATGGTCTCCCTTATGCAAATTGGGTTGGTTATCCTATTTCCAGGGGATCGACTACATGGTACTATGTATTTCTTGGAGGTAATCGAGTTTTTTTTTGGTGTATGATTAACATATATTTTCTTAAGGAGTGTTAGATATATCGTAAGTATAGGTTGATTTAGCTAGACTATCAATTAGAGTGATATAAATTGATTTAGTTTCCTTGTCTAGGTTGATATGGTTTCCTTGTTTAGGCCTAACATTGTATTTATATGAAGGTGATTACCTGACGATGGAAATACACAAAAATACTTCCAAGAAACCATTATGATCATAAAAAGAGAGGAGATTCTTGAAGTGGGACCTTATTTGAGAAGTAATTTCTGAGCAACAGTTAACCACATAAAATTATCACAAAAAGTTTGAACCTTTCCCATGTGTCATTTATGTCATCTGTTGTTCTCCAACTATTTCCAACATTGCCTGCCCATAAAGCAGGATCATCTACACCCCTGCCACAGTAAGAAAATCCAAGTGATTCTGTGAAGTACATTAAGAAAGCTAAGAACATTTGCAGAAATGAGTCTTTACCATTCACAAAGGGAATAAAAAATTGCCCGTCCAGTTGAATTCAGAGCATCCCGCATTGGTGGATATCTGTAAATATGAACCAATGTTATGAAAAGCCATTAATGGAAGTAACAAATTGGGAAAGATAAATAATCCTATAATGACGTCAAACCTATCAATCGGTTTGATGCCGAGATTGAAGCAGTTGTCATACTTCAAGTAGTCCACATCCTAAACAATATCACAACATGGATTGTGATACAAAGTCAATTGCTGAGGAGAGAATGTGTTCATATGGTCATGAATATAAACATCTGAACTCATGCAGCAGAATTTATTATATGTTTTTATTATGTGATTTGTGAAAGTTTGATTTGCGACAAGTCCACAGTCTCTCTCGTATCTCTGGTGGCAAAAGCACCTCAAAATTTCGAACACTGATGACATATATATATATGTATATATATATATATATATATATATATATAACCCAATATTTGTATGGGTGGTATATGTTCTAAATCAAATATGGTAGGAGAGAAATGAAATCTGATATTGGTAAAGCATGCATGTAATATGTATTCAGTTGAATAATTATGAAGGATGATAGACTGTGTAGCACTGACAAACAAGCCAGAGAGAATCCGCTCTCTATATATGCTGGTGTTGTTAACACGGCAACACCCAAATTTTTAGTAGTTTTTAAAATACCAAACTCACACACCCGATATATATCCCTGGGATTACAAAACAGAAACATATATCTAAGTCAAAAAGCTCACTTATTTTGAATGTGATTCTTCTGCATGAAAGAACTAGTATTGTTGGATCCTATTTTGTGTGTTACATAAACTTACCCAGGAAGCCCAAGTTGCTGCATCATCATTCTCATGGAATAGTGAACCAGGTCGCACTTGACAGGTAAAAACACTAGAACATTCAATAAAGTCAGTAAAAGAAGAGTGGTAGGTTAATTAAGAGAATAGATGGATTTTGACGTACCCTGCAGAAGAATAGATACCAAGCTTGAGGCCCTTCCCATGTACATAATCAGCAAGAGCCTTAATCCCAGATGAAAATGTTTTTGAATCAGGAACTAACTGCCCCTGCATAACCAGCCAGTAAAGTTGTCATTTAAATAACTAAGACATGCATATATCTATTCTCTATTGAAGGTTTAAGGATGGTTTTCTTTATTGATAGGATGAAAGGTGCCATTATTGGTGCGAATTTTACTGTACCAGAAAGATAGGAGCAAGAGAATAAAGATCTCAATTTACCTTAAGGTCCCGTGTTAGTGATTCCCAACAATCATCTGCGTTAAAAGATATCAGACTCAACCACCACTAAGAAGAATCAGTAAGAACATGTAAAGGAGTACCAATATTGACGTAAGTATAGCCCAAATCAGCCAAACCAGTCGAGATAAGTGCATCAGCTGCAAACAGAATACTTTTGTCAGCTCCTATAAGGAAGATAGGTTAACTGACAGCAACACATTAATTCCTCTTGGTCTCTTCCCATGCACACTTCCACTTGGGAGAGTCATTGTGCTTAGAAAGAACAAGATTTGAAATACAAAATGTACAGCTAAGGATTTTAAACTTGTTGGAAAGAACAAGTCTCTCAATGTCCAAAAGCAACTGAACAGCTACACCTCCTAACTAGGACATGGTTGTAAATAAAGAATCCCCTAATTAGAAAATCTCCCTATGTTTAGGATAAACCAAATCATAATAATCCCAAAGTCAATGAACTAAAAATTTATATCAACTTAATCGGAACACGTTGAAGTAGGCAATAATAGCTATCTACCAAACATATATAAATCAGTGCAAGCCCACATCAACTGAAAATAAAGCAAGGGAAGAGATGACATGGGAGATTGGAAACCCCGGAAAGGGAAATAACCACGGGTGAGGATCGGTTCTTGGCGTCCTCCACCCACGGTTTTTCCCTTTGCGGGTTTTCCACATAAAAATCTCAGTTGTCATCTCTTCACTTCTATTTTCTGTGATTGAGTTTGATTATTGGTTGCATATGCTAATGGATGATATTATTGCTAATTACAATCGTATACCTCTTGAATCTAGATATGGAACATTAATTCATTGATATTTAGGGATATTTGTCATTTAATTTGACCTAGTTTGAGTTAATTGAGAATAGGGGATTGTTAGTTTATAACATACATACATAGCAAGAGTCGTAAGGTAAAACTCAAACTCACTTTTCCTTTCACAGAATAAAACAAACATATCCCACTGAGTTATTGTATCAACTAATAGTACATCCAATTATATTCCATTCGTTTTCTTTCGGTAACACAATACTGAATTGCATTCACTAGCAAAGATGCAGCCAACAATATAAGGACCCTATTTGAGTACAATGTCAATTTAAGAAGTTGCAGCTATTACTTCACAGAACCATTAGCCATGGAGGAAAGTCTCAAACAAAGTAACAAACTCAACCATGATTCCCAAAACAACGAATTCCCTCACAAAAATGAAAAGGAAAAAATTGACCTGTTTCCTTAATAAGAGTTTCGTTTATGTTGCATGCAAAGAAATTCCAGCTATTCCATCTGTTCAATCAATCCAATCACAAACCAAAAACTCAAAATCGAATCCCAAGTAAAAACCACTGACAATTGCTACAAAAATCGAGCAAATTACCCCATTTGAGGAGTCAGCGCCAATCCATTACTGATCTGAAGCAATCCGTACTTAGAATTATCAAAAACATTCACAGCACCATCTGGTTTCTGTATAATCGAAAATGGCGCCACTCGAGCTGCTGATACCGTCGACAGAAACACAATTGCTAATACCACAACTTGCCAGTAATTCGTAGCCATTTGCGTTGATTTGTAGTAATCAACTTTGAGTTCAATAATCTGGATTATAATTGGTAATGGAGGAGTAGACTTCCTTCTGGATTTGTGTACTCCTCAACAGATGAACTGGAGGGAATATTCATTCCAAATGAGAACGACGTACAAAAAAGTCACGCCGCGTGTATCGTACTCTATGCTTCTAGGATTGTACTTTGGATAAAACCTGATTAATTTTTAAACCACGCAATAATGACTTCAAGGCCGAAAATTGATAAATAAAAGAAAATCCACGTGTCGGCTATTTTATTTCCTTTTTAAAACACAAACAAAAACTTATTTAGAGGATGTCGAGATTGTTTATAAAAACAACTTATTGACTTATTTTAAATATTGGTAATAAGTATTTTTGTGTGTTTGGATAAACAATTTATACCGGTGTCAAACCGGTAATAATTTTTTTTTGAAGAAATTAAACCATTCTAACTTATAATAAGTTGATAAGCACTTTTATAATAAAAACATAAGATGTTTCAAATAAGCAATCCTAAACACTCCCTCTCCAATGAAAATCTGCATCACTATTGTTACGTGATGCTAAACAATCTCCGATAAAACCCGTGCTCCTTGAATGGTCTATCATTTTTTTAACTGTATGTTAAGTATACCAAGTGGATCTACTTCAACCCCAACTTTCTATTGGATCATGTTTCAAAAACGCAAGAAGAACTATTTGAATATCGGGTAACAGCATAAAATACAAAAAGGAGAGATGCTTTTGTGTGTGAATAGTATGTGACAAGTGTTATGGTTGTTGTAATGTTCGAATATATGAAAGTTTTATATGTATTTAAATAAACACGAAGATTGGATTAACCAGTAATATAAGCATAGTTTTGCTAGTATTTCTTAGGAGTTGTTCAGACGTTTATCCGGGTAAGTGATTACCAAGTTATGTTATCTTACCGGATGGAATGATCAAGAATCTTACCCGATAAGAGCGAAGGTAAGGACCAAGAGTCTTACCCGGTAAGTGAGAGTGACGACTCTTGCCACGGTTTAGCGCTTACAGGTAAATTGTTGCATAAGATTCTGTCTTGGTGGACTAAAATCTTACTCGCTAAGTAAGTGATAGTGTTGAATTTTGCCAATAAACACTTACCCGGATAAGCATTTGATAAACGGCCCCCAACTCTGATATATATATATATAACAGATTAGGTGGGAGAAGACATAAGAGAAAAAACTTGGCCAAAAGTTAATGACCCCGCAAGTGTCTCTACCAACATCCGAACGCCCTACTCAAGACTTCGAAGCTCCATCCCTATGAGAACCTGATATACATGTCATTTAATAAAACGTTCTAAAAAATTAGTTAATTTGTTTTGTCTTTTTTCCTTTATTTATTAAATCATAGAGTAAATTACGATTTTCATCCCAGTGGTTTGTCTTTTTCCATTTTTGTCTTTCCTACTATTTTATTTTTCATTTTATATCTCTTATTATATTAGTTAATTAATAATAATTTAAATTAAAATACATAATATGTATTTTATTTTGCAAATTACATTCAAGGCCATCCCTTGGGGAGGGCAGGCCGGGCGTACGCCCAGGGCCTACAAAAATTAGGGGCCCAATTTTTTTAGTATATAATAGTATTTCAAAAAAATTAGTAAATAGAAGAGACATAAACAATTAATATCTAATAGAACCAGAAAAGATTTTGGTATTATATTAACTATTAAAGGCCCAAACATATATTAATTAAATATATTGAAGAAGAAAATAAAAAAAAATTTAATTTGTCGTTCATTAGTTTTTTTTATCTAATAAAGAAGTCTAAAACAACTTGCCACAAAAACTTTGATATATTCTCTATAATTCATCTCCGGTAGACTCTTTTGATTATTTTATCCTCGTATGAATTCTATTTTTGTGTTAGAATATAGTAGATTTTCTTGTTATTAGCTAACAAACCATCATCTTTTGAAAAAATTATCAACTATATAAGACGGTACAATTTTTATCTATATTTTAGAATAATAAAACTATAATTAATTTTTTTCTTCATATTTGTTATTTGTTATCTAATATTGAGTGCATAATCTTATGTACTCTTCTATTGCTAAAAGAATAATAAGATCTCAAACTATAACCAAAATGAGTTTTTTATTTATTTATAAGATTAATGATTTCAAAAAGTTTGTTTTAACTTTAACGCTATGTTCTTAAGGGGCTGTTTGGCAGTTACTGAATGATTTAGTACAGAATGGTTAAGAGGGTCAGAATGGTTAAGTGCTGAATAAAATAATGTTGTTTGGTAACTGTTTTCTGAATGACAATAAATTATCATTTTAACCCTCATCTAACAAAAACCCATTATTCTATTTTAACCTTCACTTTTTGTTCCTCTTTGCCCTCATCGATGGCTTCAATCTGTGATGAACCATCAAGAATCATCGAGAATCATGGTGAATCACTGAGATTTATGGGATGGATTTCATCTTTTGGAACTAATTCTTGCCCTTGTTCAACATGTAGCTCTTCGATTTGATCCGAAGAAGTCGATAAATTGACTTCATGAGGTTCTTGATTATCGTTTCTGACCGGCGACGAGTGAGGGTGAGGGAGGGGCTGTGAAGACCGGCGACGAGTGAGGGTGGGGGAGGGGCTGTGAAGACCGGCGACGTGTGGGGGTGGGGGGAGGGGCTGTGAAGAYYGGCGACGTGTGAGGCTGGGGGAGGGAAAAGAGGTCACCGGGAGTGATAGCAATCTTGATGTAAAAGTGATAATAGCTTCGAGAAATGTAAATAGGGAAAAGAGGTCACCGGCAACGGGCGATGGAGCGTCGAGAAGCTGTGGAAGGTGCGGCAAGTTACCTGATAAGAGGTCACCGGCGATGGAGCGTCGAGAAGCTGTGGAAGGTGCGGCAAGTTACCTGATAAGAGGTCACCGGCGATGGAGCGTCGAGAAGTTGTGGAAGGTGCGGCCGACGACAGAGGTGTGGAAGATGGAGGTCACCGGCGATGGAGGTGTGGAAGATGGAGGTCACCGGCGATGTGGTGAAGGAGACGATGAGAGTGGGCTGGTAAAGGAGACGATGAGAGTGGGCGATGTGGTGAAGGAGAGGATGAGAATGGGCTGGTAAAGGTATGGAAGGGTAAAGAGGGAAAAGAAACAATCTGAATGGTTTAGCATCGATTCACCCTCAAAATGGTTAAGAGCCTTGGGTAACCATTAAGAGGCTTTTTTTTTTTTGCCAAACATGTTTCACCTCTGACCGATTAAGAGGTTCCCTCTTAATGTCACAATTAAGAGGGAAACAAACAGCCCCTAAGTCTTCTTTTACGAACAAAAGAAAAGAAAGTAATAGGAGAAGAAAAATATTTTGTTGTATGAGATTGTTTTTAGGGAAAGGAAAAGAAATATATATATATATATATATATATATATATATATATATCAAAATTTATTTTTATTTCATTATTTTTCTCTTTCTCTCTCTTCTTTATCAAAAAAGCAAATAAAAAAACTTTTTTTTTCTTTCTTTTATTTTTCTTTTCTTTCCAAATTCGAGAATATAGTATAAAAGTTCAAAATGGTGTTAAAAACATTAATATGAGGTAACATGGAAAACGATCTATTTACATTGATTTACATAGTGTTACTCGAAAATCAGAAGAATTAACATTGTGACCCAAATGATGTCATTTTATGTACCAAAAATATATCATAAGATGTTTTTGATGAATGAACAAATTGATGATGCAATATAAAAATGTTCTAGTAGATAATATTAATTTAGAAATGATTATTTATTGATTTTGCGTCTAGTAATACTCGGAAAAACAATTTTATATGATTTCAATGTTATTTTTTATGATAAAAACAATATATTAAAAAATATTGTATTTATCTAGGGCCTTCTATCACATCTTGCCCATGGTCTAAAAAATGTCAAGAATGGGTCTGATTACACCATTAGTTGATATTTTTTGAAAAAATTAAACCTTGTATATATCGAGTTACTGGTAAATCGATTTCTGCTTCAAAACAGCAAACAAATTTCTGCTTCAAACCTGTGATTTCACTCCATGGTTTCGATTTACTGGTTTTCGTTTCTCCCTAATGGTTTCGATTTCTACCTGTGATTTCTCTCCATAGTTTCAGTTTATTGGTTTTCTTTGTTGAGTGTTCATACACGTTTTTTCGTTTTTCCTTGTTGGTAGTCTACAGAAAATGTAATTATTCAAGATTAAATGTGTGAAATTTTTAATTATATCATCTCTGTTTAAAACATATATTAGGGATAAAACGGTTTTAGACGTTCATACTGTTTATTTAGCATAACCACCGAACAACATGTTATCAGTTATCACACAGACAACTTTATCAATACAGACAATTTTATTCACACAGATTTTAATGAAAAATAAACCGAACAATCCCTTAGTCAGAGTGAACAAAAGTTTAACAAAATAATAACCACAATAATCAAAGCTATAATTAATTTAAAAGTGATCAAATTTAATATTTTTTTTTGTAAGGGTGTCCGGGCCAAAGCCCGACTAATCCCCGGCAAATTTGGAGGCTAAACATGGCCCCACTTAAATGTCGTCAACACTCCTCTCCCAGGGCTCGAACTCGGGTTCATGACTATGCCATGCCCAAGCCTT